AGGGTATCTTGCAATACCGAAAGAAGCTATCGATATGAAGCTCAAGAGTGGGAACAGCCACTCGATAACCCAAGTGTGTGATTGTGATCTTCAAGAACTTGACATTTTGCCGAACTGTGTCCCGGCAAACGATAGATCCAGTAGTCTTCACCTGAGTGCAAGGGCAAGCCCATGCCAAAGGGCCAAAGCGATATCGGGATATTTCTCACACTTAATTAGTGCAGTGACGTTTTCCCCTGAAGCCACCAAAAGGCCTGAGCACCACACTAATTGGAACGTTTTGGCAGCACGCCGAAGTTGAACACAATTCTCCCAAGCTTTTGCAAGTGGTGTTGCTTGGAGTTCATTTGGGTCCGCATCGAGATCAAGAAACGAAGCGTTTCCAGCCATGCTACTACCAGTGGCCTTTGCAAAGTGAGCCAAAACTTCTGGTTTGGACGGATGACCATGGGTGTGCTCGTGCAACACCTCCCAACACTGCATTCATGCATGCGGGACAGGCATCGACATTGAAAGTCTCGGGTTCGCCTCGTCTCATTGGAAGGTGGACGCCACCGACCTGCCGCACGGATCAGATCCGGAAAGATGCTGGGCAACTTGGCCGGAACCCCCTAGCACAGACCTAGGAGATGTAAGCAGATCCACCACCAGACTAGATGTAAAACAAAAATACATGGCTGGTGAAGGTTTCAATCCAATCAGACTCTTTTGACCCGGCCTCCACGTCACCAGAGCCCAGCCCCCTCAGCCATGTGAGAACCTGTGGGCGCTGAGCATCCGAGGATATGGGCAGCACACCGACCAGCGCATGCAGATGTCAATGCGATGAAAGATGATCCCAGCCCGCCTGTGATCTTCACCACGGCCATAGGGCATGGATGAGCCAAAAGAATGGCTTTTGGCAGTCTGATCACCTCAAACCCTCAAAAACAACACTTTCAGGAGAGTTAGTTGTTTCCAACCAAAAGCAGTGAAGTTAGACAAACTCGAGAACTACTGGAAAAAATGCATCGTTCGAAGATCTAGGATAGTTACGTGCTCCTTTCGGCCGCGCGCCCGCGTGCGAACTAGGAGCGGCTCCTCACACGTTCGGCAGGTACCAGAATGCCAACCAGGTCTTTATCACCCTTTTCGCCAAAGGAGTTGAGGAGGACGGCTGGCGACGGAGCTGTGATTGGGGGTGGCGATGCACAGAGATCTCATGAGATCTCCAAATCATGACGTCCGGAAGGAAATATATATAGACCTCGATCGTCGGTGGAGCACTCAGGCTGACCTAGGTAAAGGAGTCTTTTCAATTATAAGTGAAATTCGCCACTGCTGCACTAAATGGGCAGTTACAGGCTGGTGAAAGATCAATCGTCCTTGTGCTCCACTCAACTGGTATGTCATATTGGATTACAATTTATGAGACTGTCAACCAAGAATGTTGAAGATTATGCACTACTTTAAAGGCTGAACCGACCTAGGTCAAGTGAAACCACAGTGAGAGGTCCTGGTCCTGGTTCTGTTGACTGTCCCTTTTTATATACTTTGAAGTTCGAGTGTGTGGCAGCATTTCCCCAGTTCGACCCTATCCCAATTGGGCCCATCATGTTCCGCCACATCAGCAACAAGCCGAGAGCATTCCTCGGTGTGCTAGGTAGATCACCACCTCTCAACAGCTCATTTCAGGCCTGTAGTTTTGGTGGGCCTGGGGTGTATCAGGTGATCAGATGATCAGATGATCCTTGATCACGGGAAATGATTGAGTTAATGTAGGGATCCTGTCGTACCTCCTCAAGTTCGGTACGACTGGACCCGACAATGGCACCCACCCACTTAGGGTCAGATCCATCAGATCCACCGGCCTCCGCCGGTTCTGCGGATCGCCAGGAGTCCTGCAAAGTCGACTTCCAAGAGAAGGCGCGAACGTTCCGCGCAGTTCCGCGCAGTCCACCGCTTCCGCTTCCGGTTTTGAGAGGTCGCCCTGAGATCCCGAAGGCTGGAAGAGCGGATCCGAAGGTGTTCGGTGCAGCGCGGCATCCCCTGGCAGAAAGCAACACCGGCGTTTCATCCTCGGGGTCCGACCTCATGGGGCTCGAGACTTCGGGTCTTTCGAAGCAACCAGCGGGGGCCAGGTCTTTGGCCCCTCCCCCGGATGGGTCTTCGATCTTCGTCGTCGCGCATGGGCAAAACGTGTTGCAACATGTGTCTCTTAGTGGTTGGGCTGACGCCTATACCTACTTGTAGACTTTCTGCACTGGCCATTCGCAGAAGTCGTTTTCAGCCTTCAGGACGGATGCAGAACTGATCAGAACTTAAGCGTTTTGTTTCAGTTATGAGGCGGGTGGATCTGTGTGGCGGTGGTGTGGCGTGTAGAGATGCCACACGTCTCGAAATCCATTTGGTGTTTCTTCCCTACGTGATCCCCAAAAGGGAAACCTTGCTTGATTCTTGATCTTCACAACGCATGCAAGCCATGAAAACATGGCCCTGATACACATTCAGAATACTATTCAGCTATAGGAGGTGTCAGAGGAAATAAAAACACAACAGGAATATGACCGATGATAGCTGGCTTGTGGCAGAAAAACGTTGATAGTGACTTTACATTTTTGATCCTTCAAAGTCGGCTCTTCCTATAGGAGCAAGAAGGCCTTACTACTAGGAACAAGAAGCTACTATAGTAACAAAGGGCATCGCTACTAGGAGCAAGGACGCTACTCGCAGAAGCTACATCAAGAAAGTCCCATGGGGCCCTTGTGCTGAGTCCACTTCACACGCTGTCGACCGTCAGCGCTCAAAACTCGTTATTTTGGTGCCTGGTGTGGCGTGGACGGAGCTTCGGCGTCGATCTCCGCCAGGAGATCTCCGTCTCCTTCCCCTTGCCGGGGTGGGACGCCTGGCTTTCTTCGGTCGAGCACGACAGCTCCAGAGCAGAATTTGCCTGGAGGATGGTCCATGAACAGTGTTGGGCTGTTAAATGGGGGAGGGGTAGTTTGTGAAAGGACCGCTTACTGCTTAATGTAATCTTTACAGCCGATTTTGCCGCAAGGTTGGACATCTGCAGGTACTGGGCTCAAAATGGTTCAAGCCCTCCGCATGCAAGTGACTAAGTAGGTGGACCAGTGACTAGCGCATGCTTTTACCTATCTATAGTTATATCTAGTATATTGATCCATCATGAATCATGATACATCATGATAGATGTTGATCCTTGACGCTATCATGCAACCCATGTGTCGGCTGCGGCACGGGCTATGACTCTCATGTCATATATTATACGCTTTGTTCACTCGACACTTTCCGACACTTCTTTCGCTCAATGGCCACCTGGTTGGACCGAGTGGTGCAACTGGAGCAGGTGTTGGGCTCGACGGCATCCGGATCGCAGACCTTGCTGGATCGCAGACGTTTGCATCGAGCGATCCTTCTTGGGATCCGAGGCCCCCGGGCCGTTCCTGCAGCGACTGTCGAAGCTTGAACAGCTCGCGGGGTGTGGGGAGGAAGTGGCGTGTGAGACGGGTGGGCAAGCAGATGGTCCAGCGGATGCAGCTATCGAGGTGGGATCTATTTTTCTTGTCCAAAGTGTGTGGGTCATTTTGCGATAGTCTATGTAGAGACCATAGGTAGATGCTTTGTGTCCTAACGTGTTGGGGAAAATATCCCATGATAAGAGTTATTTTGCGAGGAGTTTGGTATATGTTTGAGATATGTTTGGGTACTGATTTGCTGCTTTTGGTTGCAGCTTCTGATTGCTAATTAATGATTAATGTCCAGGCGGATGGGCCAGCCCTACCAGTGGCCAAGCGTCCATGGCTTGAGGAATCCTGTGAGGAATGCGAGTGCCGCGAGGCCAATCATGAGCCTATGGTAGAGAATCCAAAGACATTCCAACAGCACCCACTGAGAAAGCAACAACGAAGTTCTTTAGCGTGGATGTATTCGCAAGAGGCAAAGGAGGAGAGCTCAGGAGGTGGCATTCTAGCAGGCAAGACAGGTTCTGGCAAAACAGCCACCACCATTGCCTTGCTGTCCGAGAAACTATGCCAAGGGCTGGGTGAGAGGCCTCGTGGCTACATCAGCAATCCAGCAACTTTGGTTTTGTGCCCACCTTCTTCGGTAGAGCAATGGCAGGATGAATTCGTCAAGTTTTTGGGCAACAGGGTCCAGCTTTGCAAACCCGCGCCTGCAGCGAAAGCAAAGGAGAGGCGGGAGGTGGTGCCTTGATTCCTTGATGGCAAGCTTTGCCACTTCTCAATGCCCTTGGGAACCATAGAAACCTCGGCTTGCAGCTGGAATGGGGATTGTAAACCGTCCAACAGCAGGCCCAGTCGAAAGAAACCTAGATTATATGATATATTAGTTAGTTTTACTGTTATTGTGTGGAGAAGGGGTCAATTAAAATCCTGGTCCCCAATGGTATGGTATACTAACCTTGGAATGACGCAATTGGAGCAAGTGTTTTGGGGGTTTAGCAGCACCTGCATCGGCCAAAACCAAGGAGCTCGGACCGATCCAATTGACTGACTCCTGGCTTTTCACCGTGGCCGGACGGACTGTTTCCGAACTCAGCCCTGAGATGGAGCGATGCAACCCAGGCTTGGAAGTCGGCGATGAGATTCTATGCTTGAAGCTTCGGGCCAAGCCCGGCCAACTCTTGGAGAACGAGTACAACCCAAGGGAGAAGACCATGTCCGAATGGTCTTTGTGTTGGGATTCCTTCCAGTCCTTTTTGGATTCGAAGTGCCATCAAGAAGGAAGACAGCTGTGGATCACAGTTGTGCGTGACAGCTCAGTCCGCATGGAAGTTTCCCAAGGTGATGGTCCTTTTCGTGTTTTGACCCTGGCGAACAGCAAGGACATCACTCGGTTGAAGCTTGGGGGACCTCCTGCAAGACTTTGCCGTAGTCTTCGGCTCTGCAGTGCATAGGGAGGCCCTCAACAGCACACTTCGGAATTGGCTGTGTACCAAAGAAAGTCATCGTGCTCAGGGAACATTCCTGTACCATGACAGGATGTGCGTTCGACAGGAGAAACTGCGTGAGTGTGTCGAACTGTGGCATGAGAAGGCTGCCTTTCTTTCGGCTACTTTAAGGTCGTGTCCGGCATTGGTAGACCCAATGTCTTGGAACAGGACGCCGTCGGTAGAGTGCAGGGTGCATGTTATGGCTTGCAGGAGGTTTTTTGGGTGCATGTTATTGACAAACATAAACAGTGATGCAATATAGCATTGGCTTGGCGGCAAAGTGGCCATCTGGGGCTGGTGTTTCATATCATGTTTGCATGTTTATAGCTATGTATTGTAGATGTTTATCCACAAACCGGTACCATACCATATCCTATAGTATCTGGGTGAAGTCTTACACACCTCCCTTTACAGGATCGTGATTGCTGATTTCCAGCAGTCGGAGGCCTGGCAGAGCTGCTTGAGGGCCTTGGGAGCTAAGTATCGCTGGGGCCTTTGGAATGATTTTGAGGGACTGTGCAGCTCAACATGTTCAGTGGAGAGGGCTCTCAACATGGCAGAGTTGCTACACTATGCTGGTGGCGATGCCATGCGCCAAGCGCTCAAGTTCAGGAAGTCCAAGTCCAAACAGGCAAGTCTTTGGCTGGCAGATCCATCAAACAAACAAAAGATCCAGGCAGCTTGGCTCAAAATCATGATGCACTCAGAACCATGAAGTCTTGTGTGTTTCTTCAAGTTTACGCATTGGGTTGTGTGGGGTATAGATAGAAGCTACAACAAGCTGAAAAGACATGCCAAGATATGCACGTTACTCAATTCTTACCATTTGCCTTTGGCACTGGTGAGGAAGAATGCCAAGAGATGCTCCGTGACGCGGTCCGGCCCAGCAGAACAGAGCCGGAGGAGAGGTGTGTTTCTGGTGAGGCCTTGTGCTTCATGCAGTCAGGTTGAGAATGTGGAAGTGCTGTTCACTTCCTTGATATGAATGTATCACTGTTATGGACATTGGCATTAATTACACATATACACTTGTACACAACTGCACACATGTTGAGATAACCCACCCCAAAAATCACACCATAGGCGGATCCACCCACATCCAGCTACGGGATACTATGGGGAATGATGATTCGTGGCCAGGAGATGTCAGATGCAGGGCAGTTTCTCGGCATTTCTTTCAACAGTTAGCTTCTACAGTTGCAAAGCAGTTCTGGTGTATTAATATGTATTAATGTATTTCAATTTCATCACCACATTGGGAAAAATGGAAAACGTTCCGAATCAGCTGCTTTGTGTTTTGCCTTTGTGTATATAAGGGGGTGGGGTCATGGATTCTGCTCGGGCCGCTGGCGCCTAGTGACGACTTGGCAGTGGGATTTCGGGGGTCAGACTGTGGCTGGTCTGACGCGGGAGTTGTAGCTCTTCAGCTGCTGATGAGCACATGATTGGGGAAAAAGGAAAAACATGCGTTCTGTGCGCAGGTGTTCAAGACTTGTTTGTCCTCAGCACTCACCACTGACCCGCAGGTAACAGTTACTCACAGATCACCGTGACATCCTGGGATTCCTTCGGTCCCATCGCCAAGCTGAGCACCGTTGACCGCCTTGAGCACTGTTGAGCGCAACAGGTCACCGTGAGGGACAAAAGTTGGGATGCCATGGGATGACACTTGCCATACTCGACGGTAAGAATACCACACCCCCGTGACTGGGATTGGCCTCTTTTGATTTCTTTCATTGAAATTTCCAGGACTGTACACTATGACCTTTCAGGCCTGGCATTCCGTCGAAGTTCCACGCTGTAAACTCACTCCATCCACCGAAGATGGTCGCGCGCAACCACTCAGGTCGTCAGAGGAGGAATACCAGCTGAACTTGGCCGCTTGGCGCCAAGGGGCCAAGACCAAATCAAGAGAACCCCAAGAACTCGCAGAATGTAAGAAACATCAAGGGGGTGATTCTGATGCTCTACTGAACTCCAACCTCCCGGTTAGGTTGGCGAATCAGGCGAATCAATACCCTGCCTACTTCATTGGCGTTTGTCAAGGGGCCCCTGGTGCTTGGGCAGCTGGGATGCCCCCCTCCCCCGGTGTTCAGGGGCGCTCCTGTCACGGCATCCATGCGTTGTGCGTCAGAGTGCCATGAGCAATTGGTGCTGGTGGCGTTAAGGGTTCGGTGACATACCCAGACGCTCCATGGGACTGCCATATATGCCGATCAGTTGGGGTGGTTTGAGGGGTCAATGTAGGCATATATGGCATACATGGAGTGTCTGGGATATATAATGTGTACTTTCGGAAAGAATGTCGAGATGATTGCAGTTGACATGGATTTGCTTGGGACCGGAAGGTTCTTTTCATTGTCTCCCCTTCATGATTCGATCTTGACCAAGAAGCTGCAACAATCGAATTACATATACTAAACAATTTCATGATACACATGTAAAAACATGTGATTCCTTTTTTCCCCTGGTTTTTGCCCTTCCAGGACCTTTGCGACGACATCGTCCCCGGCGCCTCCAAGATTGAGGCAGATCTCACGGCGACGACTTGTGGGAACGGTGGGAGCCCACTCCTTCTTTTACAGATGTATATGACCAATCCAAAGTTGCCAGACATCTGCAGCATGCCACCATTTGACATGATTTCGTGGATTCTACAAGGGCTTGGGCTACTAACAGCAAGTCTGGTGCATAGAGTCCTGGCAACCCCCACCATTTCCCTTTTAAGTTTAAAGCAAAAAAACATGACACACATCCTGCAGGTTGAAACCCCAGACAGCTCGCATGCGCACCACTGCATGCTGCTGTTTGCATACGACCAGGTCTCGAAAGTGAAGGTGGAAGCTGGGAGCCTTTGGAGCAGAGAGTGCCGCAGGTCTTTGGAGACTCAAAGGGAGGTACGCATATGCAACGATAGCTTCTATGCAGTCTTCTATACCTATTAACGGTGGCCTCCAACCCACTAGCGATGGCCTCCAACCTAAGAGGGAGGCCTCCAAACTAGAAGCAATGGCCTCCAACCTACTAGCGATGGCCTCCAACCTACTAGCGATGCCTCCAACCTACTAGTCATGGCCTCCGACCCACTAGCGAGGCCTCCAAACTAGAAGCAATGGCCTCCAACCGACTAGTGCTGGCCTCCAACCTGCTAGCGATAGCCTCCAACCTAACGTATATATGCAACATTGCCTCAATATGCATGTATGCGTTTCAGACGTCCAACGCAGGAAGCGGAGCAATATGAGAACGTAGGAATCAGTGTAGAAATTCCGCGATCACCGTGCCCGCAACAATCGTCGGTTGCCCGGATTGATGATTGTAGGTACTTCATGGTGTCCTGATGTTGGCGGGCATCCAGAGAGCCACCGTAAGTTGGAGTTGTCGAAGAAGAACAGGGGCTAAGACGGTTGTTGTTTCTATTCGGTAGTTTGCTGAGCTACTAACCATAAGTTCCGCAGCATTCCACTTGTGGACTTGTGGACGCAGATCTTGGTCCTGCAAGAAGCCACCAAACGAAGCACATGAGGAACATGCAAATGCAAGAACATTCGATGAGGGTTTAGGTCTTGTCTGTCACGCCACATTTCAACCGACTTCCTTGGCTTAGGTCATTCTTCAAAAGAAGACTGCAGGTGTGAAGTGGAAAGATCTGGAAAGGCGGGGCATACTGAATCTCAAAATGGACCCTGAAACTGTAGGGTGTTGTATGTTCCGTGCATGGTGGACGTTGAAGCAACAAGTCCTAAGCTAGCAACCATATGAGCCGTAGGTTCCACTTGCGCTCGGGGAAGGCTATTATTGAGTTTAGTCGTGGGAAGACTACATATACATGAGTCATAGTCATTGATAGCATATGACATACCACGACAAAAACATACAACAACCTTGTGTTATTGATTCTGAGATATTCTAAGTATTCTCTTCGACCACTTTAGGTCCGGCAAATGGGTCCAACAAACACATCGATCGGTCGCGGTCACGTCACAGGAAAGAAGAACTCCCAGAGATTCCACCGGATCAGCCGCTGGACTGGGAGGAGGATCTGGAACTCCACGGTCAGTGTGTGTGTGTGTGTGTGTGTGGGCCACCTCCTGTCTCCAGGGTCTTTACTTGACTACCACAAATGCTGTGCACCTAATTCAGCAGGGGGCAGCAGGGAGTCCACAGTTCTGCTGCCAACGAAGACAGCTGTGGATACTCCGTGAAGCAGATTGGGACGCCAATCTGTGTACATGTTTTTCGATGATTTAAACTTTAAACCATACTGTTCTTGGACTTTGTCGCCTTGCTGTTCATCACAGGGCCATCTCACAGGTTGAGGTCAGAGCGCTCTAGTCTGGTATTGCAGTAACTAATCGTAAAGTGCTAATGCTCACCGCGAAGCACTCAAGCTTAGCCCTACGGAGCACTTATCTCAAGTGTGTATCGCAGCTTCTTCCCACTGTGGTAGGCTGTGTGATCCTCACAGGGGCGCCGTTACTGAGTCTCCGCTCCTTTCCAGGAGAGAATTATCTGCAAAGTCCTTTTCAGGACCACCTCTTGACGCAAACTTTTCACCCTCGAAGATGAATTTAAGGACTTATCTCACACTGGAATCTTGAAACTACGCTGCAGAGCTCACTGTAAACTCTGTGTCACACGTGAAACTCTCAACCCCTATTTTTGACATAACTTGCCGATGCGTTCGGCGCACTTGAACGGAAGGTTTTTGCAAGTGTTTCTTCCTGCTTCGTTTCTCGCTTCTGCTTTCCCTCTCTTCCTACTGTAGAAGCTTGTTGCTAACTCATCAACGCCGGATTCGGCTTCAGTTTGCCAGTTGCTGCTGGATCCTAATTTGCCGTTCACTCGGCACCCTTGCTTGCAAGACACCAGTTTTTGCAGTGTTTCCTCTCCTTCCAGATGCGTTTCTCTTCTCTGCTTTTGTTTCTTCTAAAGGCTTTTTAGCTTGTAAAGCACAGGTGCTTTTGCCGAACTGGCTAGCCGACTGCGTGCACCTACTTACACCTACTTTCACTCTTGCCCTCTTCCTTTTGTGTTTTCTCCTTTGCTCTTTCTTTCTCAGGCTTGTTGGGTGCCTTTCAGGTTTTTTCACGCTTCTTGCAGCGCCCATATTTCACTACCACTAATGCTGTGCACCTAATTCAGCGGAGGGTTGTGGATACTCCGTGAAGCAGCTTGGGACGCCAATCTGTGTACCTGTTTTTTGATGGCTTGAACCATACTGTTCTTGGACTTTGTCGCCTTGCTGTTCCTCACAGGGCCACTTTTGTTCAGGAGGGGGCGGAGTCCATGCAAACAGTATTTGAAGGGGTTTGGAGAGGATGTTTGGGCGAGCAGTGGTCCAGCAGCCCAGGCAACCAAACAGAAGCACCAGTACACCAAACAAGCACCTTACAAGAGAGCTCACCGGGAGGTTGGTATCAATCAATGGGTGTTTTTCAAAATCACGCAACATCGATCAGACGACTGGCGCCGGAGAAACAACCAAATGCACCCCCTCCCAAAACAAATCCCATCGGAACTGCGGTTCAATTCTCCGTCACATTCTTGAATCTTTGAAGCAACCAAATACTTGGTTTGCCACTCCAGAAGATAATGTAATGTTCAATTCAGGGAAAGATGACTATGACTATGTTCAATATAAATCAAGAAACTTCAACCTTAGCATTTTGTCCAACAACTTTGGGTTCAGCAACCCCCATGTCTCTGCCATCAGACCACTGCGTAGGACTGTGGAAAAAGTCCGACAGTCCGACGTTTTCCACTGTTTGGCGTTCATTTGAGTTGGATCCTGAACATTCCTGATTCCTACCGTGTATTTCATGTTTTCTTTGGACCTCTCTCTATAGGTTGACGTCTATACTGTCGTGGCTCCTATATACTGTGATCTCTTCCACCGCTCCGTCACCAGTTCCGAGTCCACGAGCATCAACTGACACGAGGCCCGCGTATCCCACCTCCAACAAGTCCAAGAGGAATTGGCAGCAGATCGATCGCGAGATCGAGGAGGGAGTGCGAGCTGAGCAAAGACTGCCCATGAACAGAGAGTATTTGTTATAAATGTTGTTTCAGTATTTTTCAGTAACAAGAAGCTAGTAGGTTGGAGGCCATCGCTATTAGGTTGGAGGCCATTACTAGTAGTAACAAACTACTTTACTAAAATAGTTTCCAGTTTTTTCAACGGATTCCCGAAGCACGAGTTCGGATCCCAGCTTTCAGGTCTCGGAAGGGAACTGGGCAAATCGCACGTGTGGAAGCGTTCAGTTGACATTGGCCTTGGGGGAGGTGGGTTCTGTAGTGACAAGACTCATTTGGTGGTTTTGAAGCGTTTTTCTGTCATTCCTGGACGTGCGGCACAAGCATTCAGTTTCAGTAGAGGGTACCTAACACTCCATGGTTGCGGAGGGTGAGAAATCCCG